AAGCTTAACCTAACCTTAACAGGTACAATCTTTTACACTGTAGTATAATCTAAAATTGTCATTGTAGTAAACAGATAAACTGAATTTTAACTTTAAAATCAAGAGCCAATCAAAAAACAAAGAAATTCACAGAAGAATGTATAATTGGTTGCGCATTCATACATAGTTATAATCTTTCTAACAACAATAACTTTGAAACATTGTAACAATGTATTGCACTGTTTAACAGTAAGTGTTATTTCTAAGAGTACTACATATCTAGTACACAACTTACAAATGACCTAGGTCAGTAGGTAGTAGTAAGATGTAAGAAAATGTTTAAGTATTTTGGTCATCGGTTGTGTTGTGAATACCCATAATAAAAGTTAAAATACAATGAGTTGAACTTTTAATGGTTGTGTGTTCATACACAACGGTAAGTGTATGTACTCACAGTGCATTTATATGAAATTATTATATGATAAGTTGAATGTAAGGTTTTTGTTACACTAATAAAATCATACATGGTTTTCAATGTGATAAAATCAAGTACACCTATATCGATCACCACTATGTATCAAATAACACACATCAGTAGTAAATATGTTACACTGTAGTAAAAACAAAGTTAGTTGTATAAATAAAGTAAAGAAAGTATGCAACACTTATCCAGTACAAAAAAAAAAAGGAGAGGTTAGTAAAGAGTCTAGAATACCTACTTGTGTAGTAGTAACATTAAGAAAATGTGTCAAGTGTTCTTCTGTTTAGAGCAATATAGTAAAAGTTAATGTGTTAATATAGTTATAAGTAAGTATACAATTTTAGTCAATGTATGAAAATAAGCTTGACCCAGTTGACACAGTTGAATGCCGTTCAAGTTATTCTACAATTTCATTTCTATACAATTATAATATAATAAGTAGAATGAAAGTTTTTATGATAAAATAGACATTTAGTTTTCAAGAATGTTGTATAGTACCTATAGTAGTAAAGTAAAGTATAAGTTATGTACAGAAACAATGTATATAATATGTATCTAAGAGCAAAGTGAATAATAATTAAGCATGTAACAAATTTTAACCGTAGATTAGACACTACTGGATGTGAAATGATAAAATACTTATGTAGAACACAACTTACAAATAAAGGAGAGTAGACCTAGGTCAGTATTAAGTAGTAGTAGTAGTAGTAGTAGTAGTAGTAGTAGTAGTAGTAGTAGTAGTACTATTAGTAATATTAAGAACTGTGTAAGAAAACGTTCAAGTATTTTCATATTAAGCTTTACCCAGTGTTTAATGAAACAGCAAATAATACAGAATGTTAACCAACAACAATGACTTAATGCAAGTACCTATTAGGTAGTCTAGTTTTAATGGTTGTGTGTTCATATATATTTAATATAATCTTGTATTGGTTAGGTGTAATGTGCTCATGTGTTATACCGTGTATACTCATATACAATAAGTGCATTTATATGAAATTCTTATAGGATAAGTTGAATGTAAGGCTTATGTTACACTAATTTCAAAGAGTCTTCAATGTGATAAGATCAAGCACACCTATATTTATCACCACTATAAATAAAGTAAAGAATCTATTGAACACTATGATAAAACACATATGTTTGGTTGAATGAACTATTAAATCCAACGACAATAACTTGAAATTATAGTAGGTACAATATTAAATATCTAATATTTTTTGTGTGCATTGAACGTCAAATCAATACTCAAAGCTTAACATAACCTCAATAGGTACAATCTTTTACATCGTAGTATAATCTAAAATTGTCATTGTAGTAAACAATTTTAACTTTAAAATCAAGAGCCAATCAAAAAACAAAGAAATTCACAGAAGAATGTATAAATGGTTGCGCATTCATACATGGTTATAATCTTTCTAACAACAATAACTTTGAAACATTGTAAAAACGTATTGCACTGTATAACAGTAAGTGTTTCTAAGAGTACTACATATCTAGTACACACCTGGGTCAGGTGTAAGTAATGGTAGCAGTAGTAGTAATAGTAGTAAGATGTAAGAAAATGTTTAAGTATTTTGTTCATTGGTTATGTTGTGAATACCCATAATAAAAGTTAAAATACAAAGAATTGAACTTTTAATGGTTGTGTGTTCATAAACAACAGTAAGTGTATGTACTCATAGTGCATTTATATGAAATTATTATATGATAAGTTGAGTGTAAGGTTTTTGTTGCACTAATAAAACCATACAGGGTATTCAATGTGACAAAATCAAGTACACCTATATCTATCACCACTATGTATCAAATAACACACATCAGTAGTAAATATGTTACACTGTGTTACAAATAAAGTTAGTTGTATAAATACAGTAAAGAAAGTGATGAACACTACGATAAAACACTTATCCAGTACCTACACAATTCACAAAAAAAGGAGAGTTTAGTAAAGAGTCTAGTAATACAAACTTTGTGTAGTAGTAACATGAAGAAAATGTTTAATTTATATAGCAAAACGTGAAGTATCCTGTTTAGGTCAAAGATGATATATAAGTACCTATAGTTGTAAGTTAATCTAGGTATCAAATTTTAGTCAATGTATGAGCTTGACCCAGCGTTTTGTATGCAACTGAAATCTGAAACATGGCAACACAATGAATTTCGTTCAAGTTATTCTATACATACAATATAAATATAAAAGCTGAATGGAATTCTTATGATAAAAGAGACATTTAGTTTTCAAGAAGTTGTACCGAGCCAGTACAGTATGTACCGAGCCAGTACAGTATTGTAAAGTATAAGTAGGTATAGCAGAGTAACCTAAGTTATGTACAGAAACTATGTATATAATATGTATCTAAGATCACAGTGAATATTAACACGGAAATAACGTAAACAAATTTATTGTATTAACTTTAGAAATAATATAACATTTCTAAGAGTACTACATGTTTAAATGATAAATGCCTATCATCGTAGTACACAACTTACAAATAAAGGAGAGTATACCTAGGTCAGTAGTAAGTAGTAGTAGTAGTAGTTGTATTATTTTGTTCATTGGTTGTAAATACCCAACAGATAGTTAACTGTGACTTACACTACCTATTTCGTAGGAGTGGGTATACAGTTTATCATTTTAACAAAATGAATAAAAATAAAGTGTAATTTAATACAGAATTTTAACTTCCAACAATAAAAAGAAGAATATAGTAGTAAATATGTTACACTGTAGTACAAACAAAGTTAGTTGTATAAATTGCTAACAATAAGACAATACGTGAAATGATAAAATACTTATCCAGTATACAATTCACAAAGAGTTATGTACAGAAACAATGCATATAATATGTATCTAAGAGCACAGTGAATAATTAAACATGGAACAAATTTCAACCGCAGGTTAGACCACTACTTATTGTCATTGGTGTGAATTATATCATTGGTTACTTTACAAATTAAATGAGAGTAGCCCTATGTACTAAGTAAGTAGTAGTAGTAGTAGTAGTAGTTAGGTAGTAGAGTAGTATTGAGAAACTGTGTAAGAAAACGTTAAGGGTTCTGTTTAGGTCAATATACCCATAGTAAAAGTGATCTTATTTAGAATAGTTATAAGCTTACTCTAGACCCCAGATGTTGATATGCAACTGAACTCTGAAACAGCGGAAAACACAATTGAATGTTCGTCAAGTTATTCTACAATTTTAATTCTATACAAAGTTTTATATCTACCTAATAGTTTTCAAGACTGTTTGTACCGAGCCAGTATAGTATAGTAGGTAGGTATATAGCAGTAGCAGTAAGGTACCAGAAACAATAATATGTAACACAATAATAGGTAATCTAACAGCGCATAGTGAATAATTAAGCATTTAAGGACTGTGGACAATTACATACTACAGTGGGCTACACTATCCAACATTATATTAAGTAATTTCCATATTGTAAATGTTGTGAAAATTGATCAAACTTGAAATGATAAGACACGATTATCATGTTTCTTAGTTATACTTGTGTGAGCTTATATGCATTATGTTGCAACAAAAACGTTGAATGTCATTGAGTTAAGTTATCAAATTAAGTTAGGTTGCTTGTCGTTAGCCACAAGTTTGAAAGACCCAGTAGGGTACATTAAACCCATGAGAGTACACAACAGTATTAGTATTAGAAGTCCAGCCAGACGGGCATACAGGCATGGTGCACTGCAATGAATATACTGTTAGAAAACACAAAATTATCTCAATAAAGTTGAACAACCAGATTTAGCTAAAGAAAACAATATTATTTATTATAACTATCATATTTTACAATACTTAGGATTTAGACTCAGACTCGGACTCAGACGCATACTCACTCGGTGCATGTCGCAATTACACTACTCATCACTCCCTCAGTGCTGTGCCTGAACTTAACCCTCAGAACACAAACAGTGTTGCCAACATTCGGCCATCCTTTGAGTCAGCGTCCTCGCTGAGTTCTACATGTAATAATAATTTTTTTTTACAAATATATAGCAACATATAATAATTATCTTATGACTATCAGCTTATTCATTAACATTCTCAGTCATTAATTCAAATAATAATAATTATAGATATTTAAACAAGTATAAGTACAAAATTATGGTATTTTTTTTTTTTTAAAAGAAAAACAAAATATTTTTTTTTTTTTTTAAACATAATCTTCCATCCATTTAGGCGGTTTCCTCGCTCTAGTCCTGGTTGGTAACTCTGGTTTGACTGCATCTGTTTCCTGTTGTCTCTGGTCTTCAGTTTCAGTTCCCTCTTCTCCTTCCTGACTGGTATTGTCTACTTCTTCTCCTATATCATCTGAATCTGGTCCCAGTTTGTACCCTTTCATGTGTGTTGCATGTACAGTTGTCCTGTATTGTCGTCCGTCTTTAACTATAACATCAGTTATCTGATATGTATCATTGGGTAGCACTTTACTGACTACAAACGGTCCTCTATACTTTGGCTGCAGTTTGGTTGGTTCTCCGGTGTGTTTGGGTGGTGTTCTCAGAAAAATCACTTCCCCTACTTTATATTGGGCTTGGTTGTAATGTGTTTGGCATCATATCTGGTCTTCCATACTCTTTGTTCTTTTTCAATTGTTTCTCTGGCCTTTCTTGCAGTTTAGTACATCCGTTTGGTTGTTCCTCAGTTACTAAATGTCTTAGCATTCCATCATGGAAACTTGGATAATATCCGTGTAACAATCGAAATGGTGTTCCCCTTGGTTTTATTCTGCACATTGTTGAGTTGACTCTCCACCTCAAGTATATTCTTATCCCATGTATTATCGTTCTGCATATTTGCTTGCAATTACTGTACTAATGTTGAGTTAACCCGCTCAACCTGTCCGTTAGACTGCGGATGTCGTACGGATGTTAGTATGTGATTTATGCCTTTACTCATACAGAATTCGCCGAATGTCGGCTGTAAAAGCTGTTCCTCGGTCACTGATGACTTTCTTAGGTACTCCATAGGTTAATATGAACTGTTGTAAACTTCTTATGACTGCTTCAGCATTACAAGCTCGCACTGGGTATAACTTTTGGTCAAATTGTCCACTAAAACTAGTATGTAATTTTTCCCTGCAGTTGATCGTACAAAGGGTCCTATGTGATCTAAATGTATCACCTCAAATGGTCTTCTTCCAGGTGGTATCGGATGGAGTTCTCCCTGTGGTCGGCCTCTTGGTATTTTAGTTAGTATACACTCTGGGCAGCATCTGATATGAACTCGCACATAACTCCTCATTCGGGCAAAGTAGTACCGCTCCAAGATCTTCGCAACCGTTCGGTCAAGTGCGAAATGTCCAGCCATGTCATGATTCTGCACCACTATACTCTTCCGCATTGCGTTTGGAACAACCCATAGTTGGCGTTCTTCTCCTTGAATCCTGACTCTTTTATACACTATGCCCTGACGCATGACATAATCCCTAACTTCACGTTGTTCATTTAATGATCGCTCTTCAGTTGATTTTGTCATTATTTTGATTAGTGAACATATGTTTTCATCACTTCTTTGCATTGTTATTATGTGTTCCTCTGCAGTCATTGTTATCATGATCTCTAGCTCTTCAAGTTCTACTTCAGTGTCTGTTGATGTATTCACGGGAGCTCTAGACAAAGCATCTGCGTGGGCCATCTTAATCCCTGGTCTGTGACGTATCTCATAGTTGTATTCACTTAGCAAGTTTGCCCATCGAGCTACTTGTGGATTTACTGTTTTCTTAGTGTTGAGATGCACTATAGCCTGACAATCTGTCACTATGATGAACTGCATTCCTATCAGTAGATGTCTTAAACGGGTGACGCTCCAAACTATTGCCATGAGTTCTAGTTTTCCCGCATGATAGTTTCTTTCTGCTGTGGTGGTTTTCTTAGACACAGCATAGACTAAATGTAGTAACTTGTCTTCGTTCCTTCGCTGTAGTAGTAGTCCACTCAACCCTTGTTGACTGGCATCACAATGTAATTCCGTATAAGCATTTGGGTTAAATAATTGTAAGACTGGATTACTGGTAAGTTTTACCTTTAGTGTGTCAAATGCTTCCTGTTGCGAATGTCCCCATTCGAATGGTACTGCATTTTTGGTCAGCTCGGTCAGTGGTTTGGCTATTTGCGCATACTGTGGCACAAATCTTCTGAAGAATCCGGTCAAACCCAAGAATCGTCTCACTTCATGTCGATTGGTTGGGTGTTCTATTTTCAGTATGGCTGCTGCTTTGTCTTCTCCTGGTTTGATTCCATGCGTTGATAATCTGAAACCCAAATATGTTACCTCCTCATATCCAAAGTGACATTTTTCAAGTTTTAGAGTTAAACTTGCGGAACTTAACGCATCCAATACTTTCCTTAATCTGATCATCATCTCTTCGAAACTTCTTGCTGGTATTAATATGTCATCTAAATACCACATTGCTACATCACGTTCTAGATGCTGCATAACTTTTTCATTAACGTGAAAATTCGTATGGGGCGTTAATTAACCCGAAAACCATTCTTTCAAACTCACCCTTTTCGGTTGGTGTTATGAAACTTGTTTTAGCTTTGGCTTCCTCGGTCAATGGTACTTGTAGGTAACCTGATGCTAGGTCAAGAGTGCAGAACATTTTAGCCCCTGTTAAAACTTCCAAATGGTCATCCATGTTTGGCGTCGGATAGACTTTCCTCACTGTTTGGGAGTTTAGTTTCCTATAGTCCACGACTAAACGAGGTTCACCACTTTTCTTTGTTACGAGTAATACTGGAGACGCATACGGTGATTCGCTTTCTCTGACTATCCCTGCTGCCTTCCACTCTCGCACAATTCGATCAATGGTGTCCCTTTCCTGAGCGCTGGCACGGTAAGGTTTACTGTTGACAGGTACGTTGTTATCAACAATATCCATGGTAATTGCTTTTGTGCACCCTACTTCAAACATATTGAACGCAAAACATTTTCTATACTCGGTTAACAAATTAATTAATTGTGTTACTTCATGTTCAGTGAAATGTGGGTTGTACTTGACCTTTTCCCTGGTTATTGGTTCTTCGTATGGCTGACTTGGTCCCGATTGCTGCACTGCCATGTGTAGGCGTTTGACTTGTGTCCCCTTTTTCAACTGAACTGGTTCATCACCATGATTCACCATCAACACTTCTACAATAGTTGAGTTCACATTCACCTCTACCATTTTCACACTTGCTGCTGGTATCTCGTGTAACTCGTGTACCGTTACTGGAGTAAAAGGTCTCTGTTCGCTGAGCGCTTCGTCCGGTTCGTTGGTGAAGGGCAATGGCATATCGTAAGCAAATATGAGTTGATCCGCAGTTTTGATAAACGATACATTTGCACAGTTAATGAACGTTCGCCCGATGATAATGTCAAAGTTCTGCATGTGATCCTCTACCACTAACAATTTTAATTTTTCTGACACAGTGTCAATTCTTACCTCAGCTTCGGTGTCACCGCTACCGATTACACATGGTATGTTACCGTACACTCTTAGTTGTATTTTTCGGGGTGTGATATCCATACCATATCGCTCCGCTAGACTTCGTCTGATTATGGTGAGGGTACTACCGGTGTCCACCAATCCCTTGATCGCATCCGTACTATTATTCAGATATACATCCTTAATATACACTGTCCGATTGTCAGTCTGGTTCTGCTCTACCAATGCTATATCCGGCGATCGAGTAGTACAGTATTTGGCTGTGTGTCCTTCCGCTTTGCATTTACTACATTTTAACGGTCGCCGCGGTTGTGGACAATCTCGCGCGATATGACCTAACAACTGACAATTATAACATTTCACCTCGGGGTTTTCTCGTTTGAAAGCTGCCGGCATAACTGGTTTTATTGGTTGTGTTTGCGTCGACGGACTTTTCATGGGGTTAGTTTTATTTTTAAAATTTTCCTCTTTACTAAGTGTGGACTTACTATTTGATGTCGATTTGAAACGTTCGTTTCGGCTTTGAAACACTTCGTCACACTCTCGTAGGTCTTGCAATACCTCATATTCTTCATTGTGAGTTCTACTCATAAGGACGTTGCACATATCCTTAGAGTGTAATCCCATACACATCAGTTTCTTGCTCTCCGACTTGCTCAATTTCAGCTGTCGACACATACGCATTTTGTCGTGGAAATACGCATAAACGGTTTCGTTTCGTTGCTGTGTTCTAGCTTGTAGTCGTTTCCACTGTTCCGACACACTAATCGCTGTCGTAAACATTTGTTCAAATTGTTCCTTGAATTTTGCCCATGTTTCAATTTCAGATTGTCTAGCTAGGTACCAATTTCTGGCAGCACCAGTCAAATGTGAACGCGCTGCTTCTAACTTATACAAGTCGGGCCATTGATTATAAGTAGGTATAGCAGAGTAACCTAAGTTATGTACAGAAACTATTTATATAATATGTATCTAAGATCACAGTGAATATTAACACGGAATAAACGTAAACAAATTTATTGTATTAACTTTAGAAATAATATAAACATTTCTAAGAGTACTACATGTTAAATGATAAAATGCCTATCATCGTAGTACACAACTTACAAATAAAGGAGAGTATACCTAGGTCAGTAGTAAGTAGTAGTAGTAGTAGTAGTTGTATTATTTTGTTCATTGGTTGTAAATACCCAACAGATAGTTAACTGTGACTTACACTACCTATTTCGTAGGAGTGGGTATACAGTTTATAATTTTAACAAAATGAATAAAAATAAAGTGTAATTTAATACAGAATTTTAACTTCCAACAATAAAAAGAAGAATATAGTAGTAAATATGTTACACTGTAGTACAAACAAAGTTAGTTGTATAAATTGCTAACAATAAGACAATACGTGAAATGATAAAATACTTATCCAGTATACAATTCACAAAGAGTTATGTACAGAAACAATGCATATAATATGTATCTAAGAGCACAGTGAATAATTAAACATGTAACAAATTTCAACCGCAGGTTAGACACTACTTATTGTCATTGGATGTGAAATTATATCATTGGTACTTACAAATAAATGAGAGTAGCCCTATGTACTAAGTAAGTAGTAGTAGTAGTAGTAGTAGTAGTAGTATTGAGAACTGTGTAAGAAAACGTTAAGTGTTCTGTTTAGGTCAATATACCCATAGTAAAAGTTGATATATTAGAATAGTTATAAGTTAATCTAGACCCAGTGTTTGATATGCAACTGAAATCTAAAACAGCGGAAACACAATTGAATGTCGTTCAAGTTATTCTACAATTTAATTTCTATACAAAAGTTTATATATACCTAATAGTTTTCAAGAATGTTGTACCGAGCCAGTATAGTATAGTAGGTAGGTATATAGCAGTAGCAGTTATGTACAGAAACAATAATATGTAAACAATAATATGTATCTAAAAGCATAGTGAATAATTAAGCATTTAAGGAATGTTGACAATTACATACTACAGTGGGCTACACTATCCAACATTATATTAAGTAATTTCCATATTGTAAATGTTGTGAAAATTGATCAAACTTGAAATGATAAAGACACGATTATCATGTTTATTAGTATACTTGTGTGAGCTTATATGCATTATGTTGCAACAAAAACGTTGAATGTCATTGAGTTAAGTTATCAAATTAAGTTAGGTTGCTTGTCGTTAGCCACAAGTTTGAAAGACACAGTAGGTACATTAAACCCATGAGAGTACACAACAGTATTAGTATTAGAAGTCCAGCCAGACGGGCATACAGGCATGGTGCACTGCAATGAATATACTGTTAGAAAACACAAAATTATCTCAATAAAGTTGAACAACCAGATTTAGCTAAAGAAAACAATATTATTTATTATAACTATCATATTTTACAATACTTAGGATTTAGACTCAGACTCGGACTCAGACGCATACTCACTCGGTGCATGTCGCAATTACACTACTCATCACTCCCTCAGTGCTGTGCCTGAACTTAACCCTCAGAACACAAACAGTGTTGCCAACATTCGGCCATCCTTTGAGTCAGCGTCCTCGCTGAGTTCTACATGTAATAATAATTTTTTTTTACAAATATATAGCAACATATAATAATTATCTTATGACTATCAGCTTATTCATTAACATTCTCAGTCATTAATTCAAATAATAATAATTATAGATATTTAAACAAGTATAAGTACAAAATTATGGTATTTTTTTTTTTTTAAAAGAAAAACAAAATATTTTTTTTTTTTTTTTTTTAAACATAATCTTCCATCCATTTAGGCGGTTTCCTCGCTCTAGTCCTGGTTGGTAACTCTGGTTTGACTGCATCTGTTTCCTGTTGTCTCTGGTCTTCAGTTTCAGTTCCCTCTTCTCCTTCCTGACTGGTATTGTCTACTTCTTCTCCTATATCATCTGAATCTGGTCCCAGTTTGTACCCTTTCATGTGTGTTGCATGTACAGTTGTCCTGTATTGTCGTCCGTCTTTAACTATAACATCAGTTATCTGATATGTATCATTGGGTAGCACTTTACTGACTACAAACGGTCCTCTATACTTTGGCTGCAGTTTGGTTGGTTCTCCGGTGTGTTTGGGTGGTGTTCTCAGAAAAATCACTTCCCCTACTTTATATTGGGCTGGTGTAATGTGTTTGGCATCATATCTGGTCTTCCATACTCTTTGTTCTTTTTCAATTGTTTCTCTGGCCTTTTCTTGCAGTTTAGTTACATCCGTTGGTTGTTCCTCAGTTACTAAATGTCTTAGCATTCCATCATGGAAACTTGGATAATATCCGTGTAACAATCGAAATGGTGTTTCCCCTGTGGTTTTATTCTGCACATTGTTGAGTTGACTCTCCACCTCAAGTATATTCTTATCCCATGTATTATCGTTCTGCATATTTGCTTGCAATACTGGTACTAATGTTGAGTTAACCCGCTCAACCTGTCCGTTAGACTGCGGATGTCGTACGGATGTTAGTATGTGATTTATGCCTTTACTCATACAGAATTCGCCGAATTGTCGGGCTGTAAAAGCTGTTCCTCGGTCACTGATGACTTTCTTAGGTACTCCATAGGTTAATATGAACTGTTGTAAACTTCTTATGACTGCTTCAGCATTACAAGCTCGCACTGGGTATAACTTTTGGTCAAATTGTCCACTAAAACTAGTATGTAATTTTTCCCTGCAGTTGATCGTACAAAGGGTCCTATGTGATCTAAATGTATCACCTCAAATGGTCTTCTTCCAGGTGGTATCGGATGGAGTTCTCCCTGTGGTCGGCCTCTTGGTATTTTAGTTAGTATACACTCTGGGCAGCATCTGATATGAACTCGCACATAACTCCTCATTCGGGCAAAGTAGTACCGCTCCAAGATCTTCGCAACCGTTCGGTCAAGTGCGAAATGTCCAGCCATGTCATGATTCTGCACCACTATACTCTTCCGCATTGCGTTTGGAACAACCCATAGTTGGCGTTCTTCTCCTTGAATCCTGACTCTTTTATACACTATGCCCTGACGCATGACATAATCCCTAACTTCACGTTGTTCATTTAATGATCGCTCTTCAGTTGATTTTGTCATTATTTTGATTAGTGAACATATGTTTTCATCACTTCTTTGCATTGTTATTATGTGTTCCTCTGCAGTCATTGTTATCATGATCTCTAGCTCTTCAAGTTCTACTTCAGTGTCTGTTGATGTATTCACGGGAGCTCTAGACAAAGCATCTGCGTGGGCCATCTTAATCCCTGGTCTGTGACGTATCTCATAGTTGTATTCACTTAGCAAGTTTGCCCATCGAGCTACTTGTGGATTTACTGTTTTCTTAGTGTTGAGATGCACTATAGCCTGACAATCTGTCACTATGATGAACTGCATTCCTATCAGTAGATGTCTTAAACGGGTGACGCTCCAAACTATTGCCATGAGTTCTAGTTTTCCCGCATGATAGTTTCTTTCTGCTGTGGTGGTTTTCTTAGACACAGCATAGACTAAATGTAGTAACTTGTCTTCGTTCCTTCGCTGTAGTAGTAGTCCACTCAACCCTTGTTGACTGGCATCACAATGTAATTCCGTATAAGCATTTGGGTTAAATAATTGTAAGACTGGATTACTGGTAAGTTTTACCTTTAGTGTGTCAAATGCTTCCTGTTGCGAATGTCCCCATTCGAATGGTACTGCATTTTTGGTCAGCTCGGTCAGTGGTTTGGCTATTTGCGCATACTGTGGCACAAATCTTCTGAAGAATCCGGTCAAACCCAAGAATCGTCTCACTTCATGTCGATTGGTTGGGTGTTCTATTTTCAGTATGGCTGCTGCTTTGTCTTCTCCTGGTTTGATTCCATGCGTTGATAATCTGAAACCCAAATATGTTACCTCCTCATATCCAAAGTGACATTTTTCAAGTTTTAGAGTTAAACTTGCGGAACTTAACGCATCCAATACTTTCCTTAATCTGATCATCATCTCTTCGAAACTTCTTGCTGGTATTAATATGTCATCTAAATACCACATTGCTACATCACGTTCTAGATGCTGCATAACTTTTTTCATTAAACGTGAAAATTCGTATGGGGCGTTAATTAACCCGAAAACCATTCTTTCAAACTCACCCTTTTCGGTTGGTGTTATGAAACTTGTTTTAGCTTTGGCTTCCTCGGTCAATGGTACTTGTAGGTAACCTGATGCTAGGTCAAGAGTGCAGAACATTTTAGCCCCTGTTAAAACTTCCAAATGGTCATCCATGTTTGGCGTCGGATAGACTTTCCTCACTGTTTGGGAGTTTAGTTTCCTATAGTCCACGACTAAACGAGGTTCACCACTTTTCTTTGTTACGAGTAATACTGGAGACGCATACGGTGATTCGCTTTCTCTGACTATCCCTGCTGCCTTCCACTCTCGCACAATTCGATCAATGGTGTCCCTTTCCTGAGCGCTGGCACGGTAAGGTTTACTGTTGACAGGTACGTTGTTATCAACAATATCCATGGTAATTGCTTTTGTGCACCCTACTTCAAACATATTGAACGCAAAACATTTTCTATACTCGGTTAACAAATTAATTAATTGTGTTACTTCATGTTCAGTGAAATGTGGGTTGTACTTGACCTTTTCCCTGGTTATTGGTTCTTCGTATGGCTGACTTGGTCCCGATTGCTGCACTGCCATGTGTAGGCGTTTGACTTGTGTCCCCTTTTTCAACTGAACTGGTTCATCACCATGATTCACCATCAACACTTCTACAATAGTTGAGTTCACATTCACCTCTA